ACTGTATTCCAAACAATGCTGCCAGCTTTCTTTATTCTAGTATACCCTGGAATTCGAACCTATAAACCATGGAATTTTATATATTTATTCAGCAACTCAAACAAATTTAATTTTCAAGCTTAAGCTCGGCTTGAAATTGCTAAAAAATAATTATTTTGAGAGTTCTTTAAGCATGTTCGAGCCCTGGACCATATATCTTCCATAGCAACATAAGCAAGCTGAACTAAAATATCTTTCAAAAGCTTCTGAGTTTCAAACCAAAACTGCATGCAAATATGCAGAAAACAATACGAATCATAAATAGTCAGTAGTAAACTTAGTTATCAAAAGTCCAACTATATCGTCTTAAGTGCTTCCAATTAAAAAAAATTATTATTTAGACTTCTCTCAATAGAGCTTTTCAACTATGCAACGAAATTAACTCTCGATCACAGCTTTGTACTTAGTCTTGGCTTCCATTACGTTTCGTGGTAAAGCTTGAAATGCATAATCCATAAACCTTAAGCGCAAGCTTGCAATAGCTTTTCATTCGGTGTAACGATTCTAAGCTTAGGGGTTGCTACGCTGCTGGCGCCATCTATGTCTTGACAGCGTACGCTGAACATGCAAAACGCTACCTAGCGTCGATTATCACAACTAATCCGTAGACAATCAACGATATTAGCTTGACAAAAAGCAATCATTTGCAAATGCCAATAACAAATGTTACAACCCGAGGGTAGTTTGAAAAGTTGTCGAACTACCAAATCATATGTATTAATTTATATACATTTTTTTATTTATAGATAGGCTTATATACATAAATATGCATTAATTATATACGATTTATGCCAATTTTGTGTATATATATATTTGTATATATTTCGCGAACTTCAAATTAGGTCTCCATCAGGTTTCCTTTAATTCTGGGAGTACTTGAAAACTACATTTGCTATTTCTCAGGCAGTGGTCAATAAAGAAGAGTTCGTCATTCGATTTCCACGCTTTTGCGCTTTCTTGAAGTGGAATTCGAGCTGAGTCTCTTTAGTCCACCCCACCCATCGCCGCATTCATTGCAATAAAGAAAACAATTGACAATTTCAATTTGACATTCTCAGCATTTATTTGCACTCTACGCGGTAACATGTTTTGAGATTTGTTCTGTTTTGCTTTTACGTAATATGTTTTAATGCTATATATACATATTTCTGTGTATGCCCTATGCACATGCATAGGCATTTTGTTGTGTATGTATGTGTTCCACTTGCCATCATCGAAACTGAAAATCAGTCAAAAAACAACAAACTCTTCTTGCACTCTTCTTTTTTATTTATCATTATCATTATTATTATTATTATTATTATTAATATTATTATTACTATTACTATTATTAGTTGTACCCAGCAACAAACAAAAGTCGAAAAGTTATTGTTTAATGTTTTAAGTGTTCGCATTTTTTTGTTGCTCTTCGAAAAAGTAGAAAAATATTGCTCTAAAAAATACAGGGCAACTCTTTTCATTCATCGAGAATATATATCATACATACATACACACATATATACATATATTTATATTTATATATATATATATATATATATATGTATTTAAATATACTTTTGATACTTATCATTCATAGTTGTTTGCGTGTTTATTTTCTTTGTTTGTTTGTTTTTGGTACAGGCTTAGACATAAAAAACAGGCGCTAGTTGAAACCTTGGAGGGCAAAAGATTTACAATTGTTATGGCACACACATACATTCTAATTTTTATGTGTATGTGCATATGTGGAATATATGTATATATATAGATATATTCTATATAATATGTATTATATGGTTTCTCTGTTCTACATAGTTAATAAAGGGATAGGCAGGCTTTCAGGCAGGGAAGTTTCTCTCAGTGTGTGTACGTGTGTGTGTGTGTGTGGGTGAGTTGAGTGCTTCCCTGTTCAGACTTCAGGCCACGTTTGCCATTAATATTATTGTAAGTTTTTCTTTTTTTGATTTTCTTTGTATACCCTGTAACTGTGTTTTGTTGGTGTGTCGTATCGGCTTGTCGAGGCATAACAGCAAATAACGTGAGCTTTAAGCTTAACACTTTAACAAAAATAACGGCTCTTTAAGCACCGACTAAAGCTTCAGCAAACTATATAAACTTCAAACTTTATATGAATATATATAAATATATATATGTTTATATAAAGTAAGAGACAACACATAGAATGTAGAAAACAGGGAAACATCTGATATTTTAGAGGCACTTTCAAGTATTTCATTTTAACATTGCGCGACTACAAAAACAATTGAATACAAAAATTATATATATATATATATATATATATATATATATATATATATATATATATATATATATATATATACATACTATATACATATATATATGTATCAGCTTATATTGATGATGTTTGGCTTTATATTCAACTTTAAACAGAGAAGAAATTTGTTCATTCAACACAATTTCGATATTCTAACTATATATATATAAAGCTAAACCCAATCGAAACCATAAGAAAATATATATAAAAAAACAGAGTTGAAATTAAATCACAAATTGTGTGTATTTGGTACGCAAACAAATCATAATCATAATCATAATCATATATGTATATATATATATATATATATATATATATATATATATATATATCTTTAATAATAATGATAGTATGATAATTCTTTTAATATTCTTACATTTTTTAAGAGCAATAAAAAAAAACATTAACAAACTGTTTACTGGTCAAGATAAACGATGATATATCATATTAGTTCGTACGTCATTAAATATAATAGCTTATACATATATGTATATATATATATGTATGTATATGTAAGAGGTAATAGAGGAGAGGAGTGTGTGTGTCTGTGTGTGTGTAGGAGTTGGTTAGGAAGTGGGTCAGTTTACAATAAGACAAGTCTCGCTTTGCTGTTATAAAGTTTAATGACTATAACAATATTAAAATATATATAAATATATATATATATATATATATATATATATATACTTGTGTGTGTGTGTGTGTGTCTGCATTCTATATATAGAACTTTGCAATAGCTTTGCAGCGACAACTCGAGTCGAGTCGAGGCGATTGTCTGCGTGCATTCTCTTTCAATTTTTGCAAATGCAAATATATAAACATATATATATACATATATATATGCACATATAGACATATAGATATATATATATATATATATATACATATAAAATTTCAATTGAAATTTAACTGGCAATAAGTGTTTCACATCTGTTTTCAATTAAAATTTCTATTTTTTAATTAGTTCTCTTTTCTTCTTTTGCTAGAAAGGTACTTGAAGTGTCTACACTCAGAAGGAGCCGGGGCTAGGGCAATGGGGCGGTTGTGGGTGGTGGGGGTAGAGGCGTGGCGTTAACTATATAGTGTGTAAATAAATTGCAGCGCAACTTGCAAAGCGTTTTTCGTATTTACATTTAAATTTAACTAAGGTTTCGCTCTACACGTTCAACCATCAACGTTTAACAATTTTTGTGAGTTGACAAAAAACAAAAAAAAAAAAAAACAAAAATTCTTTACAATAAAAATAAAAGAAAAGAAAAGGAAAGCTCTTTAGGTCCGGAAAAACAAAGAAAAAGTGTTAACAAGATTTGCATAAATTTGTAACTACAATATAGTTTAATGCCTAAAAACTAATTGTTGTTTTGTTTTTATTTGTTGTTTCGTTATATATTGTTTTTTTGCTTATGGTACTAAAAGTATCTTTGATTTAACATTTACTTGAGTGTCGCATGTTGTGTTATTGTTTTTGTTTGTTATACATATACATATACACATACATATACATATGTATATATATATATATATATATAGGGTATGCGGATTGCTATGCTACGCTTTATTGGCCCGTGTTTTGTTAATTGTTTTTGTTTTTGGTTGATTTTGTTAGCACTTAAGTTAATAATGTATAACATATGATAATTGTAATAATAGTAATATAATAATAATTGTTGTAATCATAATAGTTATAATAATAATATAGTAAGTAGTATATAACATGTAGCGATATTTAAACAATTCAATTTGATTTTTGTTTTTTTTTTTTTTTTGTTTCTCTTCTTACTTTTTTCTCTCTAAGGACTCAATTATAAGGCGCTATATGTTGTTGTTGTTGTTGGTTTTTTTAGTACTATGCATATGCAAATATGCATGTGTATATATAGTTGCATGTGTATATATATATAAATATGTGTGTGTTACATATATGTTGTTGTTTTACTCACAGCAAACAAACAAATAAAAAGTACTTTGATAACGCAATTGTTTGCTATTTCCTCTCATTTTTCGTTCTTTTTTTTTTTAATTTTTCACATTTTTGCTATTTTTTTCAGTTTTTGTTTTAATTTTTTCGCCTTCCGCTTGTCTTGTTTTAAGTTTCTTGTACATGTGTAAACAATTACATTTAAAAAATCGTGCCCAGCTAGCACCTTAGGACATTTCATTTTGTGTTTTAGTTTTGTTGTTTTTCATTTAAAGCGAGTTAAAAATTTTTAAAAAAGTTATGTATATATATATACATATATATATATATACATATATATATATATATATATATACATATATATATATATATATATATATATATATATATATATATATATATATATATATACATATATATATATATATACATATACATATATATGTCTGTTTATATGCACAAGTTGTAAATTAAAAGCTAACAAAGAAAATTGCAACTATTAAAAAATTATATAATGGCCAACAATCAAGTCGAATATAAAAAATTAACATCTAAAATTAAGCTACTAAAAAATGGATTTTAAAAAAATAATAATAATCATTAAATAATAAATATATATATATACATATATATATATTTATATATATACATACATATATATTCATATACATATTTATATATATTATAATCAAGAAAAAAATGTATCATCGATAACAAAAAAAAAATAATAATAATAATTATAATAATAATAAACACAGAGAATGGGTAAATATTAAAATTGAAATTGGATTAAAACCAAAACATTTGACTAAATGCTACGCATTGTACAGAAATCGCTTTAGAAAGAGACAACAAATGGTGCGAGCAGCATGGTGAGGAAACTAGTGTGTGTGTTTTTGTTGTGTGCCAGTTCAGCAGACAGAGAGAAAACATAGCGATATAGATCTCTCTACAGTCGGCCGCCAGCTTTGCGCCATATTCACCGCATCCAATTGGCTTTTCGCTTGATTTTGGTACGCACTCCACGCAGAGGCTTTCCTTTGCTCTTGGCTGGCGCGGAATTTACCATAGCAGCGCTTAGCGACAGCATGGATTGCCCATTACCAGAGACGGCACCTCCACCATTTGGCAGACAGCTTATACTGGACAAATACAAGTTGGACGCATTGTTGCCCGTCGCAACGTTTGCATTGTATGGCTCATCGTAGAGCGGCCTTTGCTGCTGCTGTTGCTGCTGCAGCTGTTGCTGTTGCTGCTGCTGCTGTTGTTGCTGCTGCTGAGCAGACGCCCCGGCAGCAGCTACATTGGCAGCAGCGCTGCTGAGTAATGCCATTTTACTGCCGCTGCCATTTGTATAGACGCCGGTGTTCTGCGGCTGCTGCTGATGCTGATATTGCAGCTCGAGGTGCTGCCATTTCTCCTCCTCGATGCTGCGACTGGAGGCACGTTTGTGCGGCGAGCCGTGGCTGCTGCCACTGCTGCCATTGCTATGATAGTGGGTCGTGGTCGTCGACGAGCCGCACTCCACAATTGAGGAGCGCGAAAGGGAGAGCAGAGCATCAACACCATCGCGATGTCGCTGCTGATCGGCCAGCTCCTCGGGCGTGATATTATGACTAAGCAAACAGAATTCAAAAGAGAAGAAGGTTTAAAGATAAGCTCATACTATTTAAAGTCCACTCGACTCTTACTTCTCCTCGCTGCTGTCGTAGGCCGCATCGGAGCTGGCACAATTGCTGTCGCCGCCATGGCCAACACTCTGTTGTGTCTGCTGTACATTTTGGCCATTGCCGTTGCCATTGATCAGAGGTGTCGAAGCCCCACTGTCTGCATTGCTATTGCCGCCAGCCGAATAGGTGTGATCCTCGCTAGGAGAACTGGTTATCACTGGAGCACTATAGAGACAGAGAAAGAGAGAGAGAAGAGCAATCCTCTGATTAGTTGACCGTTGACGAATAACTCACGCAACTTACCCGTTGTGAAAGCTATCAAGGAAGGCTTTTGAGCCATGCTTAAGGAAAAGCATCGCCGCAGCCGCATGGACATCATCGATGCTATCGGCGCCGCAGTCACGGGCCAACCGCTCGAAATTTACGGCACTAATGGCAACAGAGCCAGCACCAGCTCCAGGTCCAGCTGGTGCTGCTACTACAACATTACCAGATCCATTCGCATAGTTGTACTTATTGTTGTTGTTGTTGTTAGATGCATAGTCCACCGACAGCTCCTCGTCCACAGCATCGCCCATGTAGTGCGGCTCCTCGATATTGCGAAATGCCTTGGACAGATTAGGAAATAGCTTCGGATCGAAGCGGGGATGATTGCCGCCAGCAGGCGCCGGTCCTGTGCTGCCATTGGACGTGGCAGCCTGGCTGCCGCTGCCGCTGCCATTGCCATTGGCCAAGCCGCCAATGCCCTTGGCGGGCGTTGTAGACGCCACTGAAACATGAGCAGTACCATCCAAGCTATCGTAGCCAGCAATGCTGCCAGCGCCGCCAGCAACGCCACCAGCATGGCCATTGGGGCTCTTAAGCATCGGACTTATCTTGTCAACGGCCGAGTTGGGGAAGTAGGGCGAACGGTTGAGAGCCTGCATCAGATTTGGTCGCTGCTGCGGCTCAACGCGCCACAGCGAGCCTTTTCCCATGTTGGGCGCCTTCTCCACCTTGACGAAACTCTTGTTCAGCGACAGATTGTGCCGCACGCTGTTCTTCCAGCCATTGGGCGCTGACTTGAAGTAGGGAAAATGCTGCACGATCCACGCGTAAATCTCCTTAACAGGCAACGCCTTCTCATTCGAGTCCTCAATGGCCATGAAGATCAAGGAACTGCAAGAGCGTAAAGTGCATGGGAAATGTTAGTTAAGCTCGAAGATAAGTTCGGCAAATTGTCAATTTAATATTGCTGCTAAAAGCAATGGAACCAAATACTTCACTAATCACGGAACTCGTTCTTTAGACTCCAGCTTCAAATCTTACCTAAAGCTATATGGCGGCTTATTGTTTGTATGCACGTATGGATCATATGGCACATTGTTGGGATGCTTTTGCTTTTGGGGCGTGCTGCTGCTGTTGTTGCTGCTGCTGTTGTTGTTGTTATTGTTGTTGTTGTTGCCAGGGCCGGAGCTGCCGTATGTAGCTGAATTGTTGTTGTTGTTGTTGCTGCTGCTGTTATTGTTGTTGTTGTTATTGTTACCGTTGGCTTTGGACATTGATTGATATTGAGGCGTGCTCGTGTGCATGCGTGCCCCATTGCCCAGGCCAATGTCGAACTCCTTGAGCGAGTCCTCGTTGTCGTAGCTGGCATAGCTGTTGGGGCTGCGCAGATTGGCAATGCCGGAAGCGGAACCAGTCGAAACGGAGCCGGAACCGGAACCGGAACCAGAACCATTGTGCACCGCCGTAGGCGTCATGGACGGCGGCGGCGGCGTCACCGACAACTGCAGCACACCGGTTCGCGGCTGCACCGCACTGTAGTAGGTGACAGGTGGCAAAAGAGCCGCACCTGGCGGCGTCTCCGGTGAGGAAATATTGGCGGGCTGTTGTGACCTGGGCATACAAAGAGAAGAAACAAAATATCGATTCAATTTCATTTAAATTTATTATTATTAAAGAGCAATTTAAACCATAAAAACTACTTCAAAATGGCAAGAGATGGGCAAGTGCGAACGAGACGGCAATCAAATAAAAATTGTTGGCAACTTTTTCAGAATGTTAACAAGGAAACTAATTCATTCATAACAATGAAAGCCTTTCCTCTTCACACCTTTATAACGAGTGAAAGACCAGATTCAAGACGAAACTCGCGATTAAGAGGCAGACAAAGATCGAACGGAAGAGACTGCATAGAGTGGGGGAGAGGGAGGAGAGAGAGAGAGAGAGAGAGAGAGAGAGAGAGAGAGAGAGAGAGAGAGAGAGATTAAGAACAGTTCCGGTCTGAAGAAGAGCGAAATAGCTTCAAAACCAGCGACGAATGCAAACAAAGCCAAAAAGTGTAAACTGACAGACTCCCTACCTCCCTCTCTCTCTTCTTCATCTAAGTCTGCATCTCTCTCTCTCTAACTCTTTCTCGCTTTTTCCTATCTCCCTCTCTGTTCCTCTGAGAGTCACTAAAACGTTTACGAATGCGAACAAAGCAAAAAGCCAATCATTTTTCGGCTCTTTTTCTATCTCTATCTCTATCTCTATCTCTATCTCTATCTCTATCTCTATCTCTATCTCTATCTCTATCTCTATCTCTATCTCTATCTCTATCTCTATCTCTATCTCTATCTCTATCTCTATCTCTATCTCTATCTCTATCTCTATCTCTATCTCTCTCTTTCCATCGCTCCACCTCTCTTTGTCACTCTGCCAAACAAAATAAATTGTTAAAAGCCACTTCAAAGATGATTAAAATATGCAACTTACATAACATGTGGAGCGGTAACAAAACTGTAGCCAGGTGGCAACGTTGTGGTGCTAACCACCGATTGTGGCGTTGTGTGTTGTTCGCTGGTGTTGTTGCTGTTGCTGTTGCTGCTGCTGCTGTTGGTGGTGGTGGCGGAGGCTGTGGCGGTGGTGTTGCTGCTGCTGCTGCTGCTATTGGGCGTTGAGTAGTTGACGGCATCGAATACTGCATTGAAGCTGTTCGATTTCGGCACTGGACTGTTGCCCCCATTGACGGCCGCCGTCGAGGAGCCCGAGGCGGAGCATGAGCTGAGCGTCGAATTGTTTGAGGAGGCGGGCGAGCTGACCACGGTAACGGTTGAAGCCACCACATGGCTGATATTGTTGTTGGCGACGGTGGTGCTACTGGTGTTGTTGTTGCTGCTGCTGCTGCTGCTGCTGTTGTTATTGTTGTTGGTGATGTTGTTGTTGCTGTGATCCACATGCACGTTCATCTTTTCGCGCAGATATTTCTTGTGCGGATGATGCGTTGTGGTATTCCCAGTGGATTTATAGCTAGCTGTTCCATTCGTACCATTGCTGCTGACAAAGATTTGCGACTGCTGCTGCTGCTGCTGTTTGTCAGTTGCTGTTGTTGCGGGCATGAAAGTGTTGCCGGCAACACGCGGCATAAAGGCACCAGCGACTGTTGCACCCGCTGCTGTGGCATTCGGTTTGCTGCTGGCTGCTTTGTACTCCACCACGGTGGTTGTGCCGCTGGGTCCCTTGTGCACCGTTGTGGTCCTATAGACGGCGGGTGACTGCGACAGCTGATGCTGTTCGTTGGCATCGCTGTGTGACAGTTCCTCGATTATATCGTTCACTAGGCAAATGTTGTAAGGCTCTGGTGTGGCTGCTGCAGCTGATGCTGCTGTTGCTGCAGCTGCTGCTCCGGCTGTTGTGGTTGTTGTCGCTGTGGCCGTTGTTGTTGGCGACGATTTGAGCGCCACTGCAACACCACCGCGTTTCACTGCTGCTGCTGCGGCAGCAGACGTTGTTGTTGTGGTCACAATGCCTTTGATCAGATTGCTCTCATTCAGCCAGGACAAGGGACGCAGCTCATCATCATCAGCAGCTGCGCCTGACGCGGTCAAAGCATCCGCCGCACTAAGCTCCAATTGCTCTGTGGCAAGCACCACTATATTGCCAGCGGCTGCTGCCGCTGCCGACGACGCGTTGCCCGCCTGCGTGGCATTCTCATATGCCGTGAAGCTGCCGCCATTGGGCCGCAACAGTAGGTACTTTGAGTTGGAATTCATGTGGGCGTGGCCGTGGCCGTGGCTGTGTCCGTGTCCAAGTCCCAGTCCCAGTCCTAGTCCGTGTCCGTTTGATGGCGGCGCTGCGGCCGCTGTGCCTGCCACGCTGTGGTAGCCGTGTGCAGCAGCTGCTGCTGCTGCCACCACGGCGGCGCTCGTTGCGGCTGCTGCCGTCTGCAGTTGCCCACGCAACTGGCTCAAATCGTGCGTCGTTAACAGCTGTGTGGGATTATCTGTTGACATGCTCCTGCAACAAAGGTCAGAAGAGAAGTTGATTACCGAAATTCAGCTAAACAAAGTTAAAGCTTTAACTTAAACCGAATCACGGATATCTAACTGTAGTTTCATTATATAGCCTATATCGGACAGATATCGTACACCATATATCATTTATACCATCATACAAGAGACAAAATTGAGGGAGATAAGTCTGAAGTGATCACATCAAGTTCTCAAAAATATCAAAATATGCAGCCAACAATCGATACATATCGATACATCGATGTCTGCAGAGGCTAAACGTGAAGGCAATTTAAAAGCGAAGAATTCAACTCATAATCAAGTGTTATTTTCCAATTAGCGATTGCTTATCAAATCAGTAAATATAAAAGACACACGCATGTGTCTTGCGCTTCTTCTATTTCTTGTTATTTTTTATCGGCGTCCTTCATTTTTTTTTATTGCATACCTCAATGCGCTGTCAGCACCACTGTGCCCCATTTCAATTACCCCGCCGATAATAAGTAATATTGCCACTAATACTCACACAAGCACAATCACAAGCACAAGCACAATAACATGCACACGCACTATCTCTCTCTCCCTCTCTCACACACGCTGTTCCTCTCTCCTTTCTTGTTTTGAAAAGTGGCCACATTTTTAAGTTAAATGCTAAACGCTTTACGCAATCATCACCAGCCGCCCGGGCCACCATTTTGTGTATGTATGTGTGCGTGTGTATTTTGTTTGTATTTGTTTCTATTTGTGCGTTGCTTTTTGCATTATTTTTATTTTCCAACAGCATTTTTTTATTGCTTCTAATTTACGCGTGTAGTTTTTGCCGTCTTTATGGCTTGATGAGTGGCTGCGACGCCGGCTGAGACGCCGACAGCTTGCGTTCACCTGCTACTAGAAATTGTATTTGTATTTGTATTTGTTATACTTTTTTACTTTTTTCGGCTGTTTTGTTGCGAGCGTCGCTTTGCGTTTGTATATTTATTTGTGTGTGTGCTGTATGCCTGAAAATTGTTGTTTACGCTCTTCATCTCCTCTCTTTCTAGATGGCTAGGTGTGTTTATTGTAGAATTATCTTATCAGCATTTTGCATTTAAGTTATAGCTACAACAGTAATATCTCTTGTTCAAGCTGAGAGCGAGCGAGTGAGCGAGCGAGGCAATATCAAAGGATATTGTATCAATGACTAATTCATATTTCTGGTATTTAAATAAATGTGGTACAGTTAAGCACACGTTTCTCTCACAGTTAGAGCTGATTAATTAAATAAATAGCTACACATGTCCGCATTAAATGCCGTAAGGGACAGCACTGTAAGTGTATTATTTATTGATTTTTATTGGCCACCAACAAAATTACTGTGACAACAACAAAAGAACAGTAAAACGAGCGCGCCACAACAAAGACGGCGAGTCAAAACAAACGATACGCGAAACGAACAGCAATGTAAAAGCAAAAGCAAAAGCTCAATAACAACAAAGACGGCGACAACAAGAGTTTAAGCGCCATACAATAGTCGCTTTACAGTCGCATGCCAAAATAATGGACGCACATAGCGGAGCAGCACTTCACAGCTGTTGTTCTTGTTATTGTTGCTGGAAGGCTGACTGCGAAAACACAAACAAACTAGAAAATAAAGCTTGCGACGCAATTTTGAAAGTTTCCGTCGTTGTCTTGGCAACTTTTTATAAACAAAATACAGCAACAACGTTAATTTGCACAGTAGCGTCGCACGAGAGAGCCGAACGACGCCGACGTCAGCGTTTGGGCAAACGACAACGTGGTTTTGGTTAGGCTGGCTCTCCTTCTAAGCAATGTATGTATGTGTATGTGTGTGTGTTTACCTAATTAGCTAAAAGAGACACACATACACACAATATACAAAACCATTATACGTTTGCATATAGTTATAATATTGCAATTTCAACACAAGCAAACATACGCATATACACCCTAGTGTATATATTGCAAGTTATTTGAGCCGCGGTTGTGACGTGTGCCAAAAACAAAGAAATGACAGCTCGTTGTTAGTCTCTCTTTTTTTCTTTCTCTCTCTCTCTCTCTCTCTCTCTCTCTCTCTCTGGCCGACTCTCTGTTGTTTATCTGCTTTACATTATGTGTTTGTTTATTTTTCAAGCGCAAGCCAAACGTCGCAGTTTTTCAGGCTTAGCTCAGTTAAATGCAAGAGAATGCGAATAGAAGAGTGTCGCAAAGAAAAGAATAGCCGTTGTAGCCGTAGCTTTTGCGCTTCGCTGCCGACAACGTAGCCGCGTCAGTTGTCAGTTTTTCGTTCTAGAAACGTCAACTGCTTCTGCTGCAGCGCTGCCTGCCGGCTGTTCACTTTCTGTTGTGTGACCTATGGACCTTTCTATGCTGCTTTTACTGCAGCTGCTGCGCTGTTGTTGTTATTATACTTTTGTTGTTCTGCTTATGTTGTTCATGTTATTATTATTGTTATGTGGGCGTCAGGGAAGAAGCAGCAGCACGGAAGAGTAAAATACGATTGGTTAAACTGTACCTGCTGCTGCTTATAACACGCGCTTTGTACTTGTGTAGATGATTCATACACATAAATATAAATACAACTTTAACCGCTGCTAATCACATAAAAACCACAATATCAAACACAATTAAGTACCGTTGTTTTTGTTGTCCCATTTAAAAGTATGTTTTAAGGGATATGCGTAAATTAACTGCTTCCTCTTTAAATAATCAACACTAAATCGAAAGAGTGAAAAAACGTGAGACAATCAGCAGAGGGGGTGGGTTATGGGGGCAGTCGGCTGCGGGTTTGTCACAATGACAAACACATATTAATGGATAATAATAATAATAATAAGAGAGGATGAGGAAGAGGAAGATGAGGGAGAGTAGGACATGACCAAAGCAAAACAAAGCAAATAGAAGAGAAGGCGCAACACTGTTGCTTTGTTGTTGCTTCGTTTATCTGATGCCATTTCGATCGCTCTCTAAATAAATAATAACAAATAGCAAAACAGTTCACGTAATCAAATAAAAAAGAGAGCGAACGAGCGAGGAAGAGATGAAGAGAGCGCACACGCGAGGTAGAGCGAGCTTTGCATATTTCCGGCAGCGCCGCCGCCGACGCCGCCAACAACAAAAACAACACTTTTAACAACAACAGCTGGCCAAGCATTTTTTGAGAGCTTTTAATGGCGTCCAATGACATGCGCTCCCGCTCTCCCATTCCCAAACGTTGTACTGTACTTGTCTATGTGTGAGTGTGTGTATGTTGGTGAAATATAAACAAAAATTATTGAAATTAAGTGTAATAAAAAATGCCAGAATACAAACTTAAATTAATTTAATAAAAATTCAAAAGTTCTAAGCTATATATACACTATATATACACATACATATATAATTTTTTTTGTTTTACTAGTTTTTTTATTTTAATATAGTTTGATGTACTGTTCGCTTTTAATTAGGTATTTATCTGGTGTAATTGTGTTTACTTTTTACTAACACACACACACACACACACACGTGTGGTAGTAGTTTAGAATTTTCTCGAGCTTTAGCTAAAGTAGACAACAAACAACGAAAAATTGTCGGCGACCACGCGGCGTATACGTAACCCCCATGCAAACAGCTCGCTGTATATGTGTATATATAATGTGTGAGTTTTGAGTCTATATATATGTACATACCCATATGTACATATATACACGGCTATTTGTGCGTGTCTGTGTGATGACTTCAAGTTGGGTCGCACAATTGTATATTACGTATACGCTACATATGCAGGCAGGCAGGCAGACAGACATAAGAAAAAGAAATAAATATACAGCAACGCACACACACACACACTCACATAGTCGTTTACAACAGATAAACAACTGGTAGATATATAGTAGAAAATATAGCAAAATACGCAAAAATATTAAGAAAACTTATCAAAAAAAAAATAAGTAACAAAAATAAAAACAATTTTAAAAATGAATAAATAAATAAGTAAACGAACGTCTGATGGAGACAGAAACACATAGCGGTGACAAGGCCGCTTTGAATGTGTTGTTGTTCTCTTAGTTCACTGTCTGCGTGTGTGAGAGCGAGACAGGGTAAGTGTTATTGTTTTCATTGTTGTTTCTAAACAACACTTTAGCTTTAAGTAAAAATTAAAAAATATTTATATGGATAAAAAAAATATTATTCAATTTCTTCTATTTTCCTTGCATAAAATAAAAGTTGTATTTCTTTTACTTTAAATTCATACACAAATACTAAAAAAAAAATGAAACGCTCTGCTGCTCAGCTCACTGCTCTCTTTAAGTGCGAGCTTTCACTCTTCCACATACGCACACAACGGCAGCGACAGCGCTGCTCGCTCTCTCCCTCCCTTCAACACAAAAACACACACACGTTAACTGTTCAACGTGGTTTTTATTATTTTTCTATGTATTTTTATACTTTTCGTTGGTTTTTAGCGAAATTCGTATATTTCTAGCATGCGGATTATGAAATCGAGACACCGATTAGAAGAAAAAAAAATAGTGTAAACATATGTAAAACCGACTATGGCAAATCATTGTATATTTTTTTTATTGTTTTTCGTATCCATGACTCTCACTTTGAATGCTCTCTCTTACTTCTCTTCGCTTAAGCTCACGTTCCTGTGCCCACTGACGTACACACGCACACACACTTTAACATATGCATATGTATATGTATATATGGCACCTTTTGTTGTTGGAAGTGATCCACATACCTTTGCACTAGAAGAACTGACAATGTTTTCTAAACATTTGGCACACAACAATTTATTGAACTCTTTTTAATTTATTTATTTATTTAATTATTTTAGCTAAGAAATGATATCTGAAATTTTGTAATTTCGCCTTTTATACTGAGGCCTCGCACAATTTGAACTGTAAAGCACGCGAGCAGACAAACGAATGAAGCGAAACGGCGGCAGCACCAGCAAATGAAATGCCGAAACGAGCCCCACACACACACATGCACACAAACATATACGCTCGCGAGCGCAAACGT